GGCATGCAGAGTCTTGTCCACGGGGCCATGATTGGTATCATACGATTGGGAATAGCCTTGCATCCTGATCCTTGGCTCAACAACGGCGTTGATCTAGCAATGGGCGGCTGGGACGAGACCGAGTGCTGATGACGTGTCGCGGAAGCGACGCTTAAATACATTTTGAGGATGTCGTATGGGGGCGATTTCCAACGGAGCCAGGGTTCCGCGTTGTTAGACGATCCCGACGTCCAGGAGCTGTGGGAAGTCGTGGGGCGACAATGTTATACGTTGACGCCAGTCCTGGCCAGGCCCATCTTGGAACCAGCGGGAGCAAAGCGTCGATCCTGATGTGCGGTCCACGCTGCAGTGGGAACACGCTTTTAGGCTCGAACGTGGTCTGATTGAAAGGGCACTCAGGAAACACAAACTCGTGTAATCTGGGGGTGCCCCCCCCCTCAACACAGTATCAGGGGAGCGAGTAGAGCCCTACTTCTCTTCCCCTCCTCCCCCACTCTCCATCTCCCCGGCCCTCCTCCTCCTCCTCCTCCTCCCTCCTCCTCCTCTTCCTCCTCCCCCTCCTCCTTCTCCTTTTCCTCGTATTCATATAGCTTGAATGTTGAGGAGGAGGGGGGGCGGGGAACGAGGGATGAGTCAGTAGAGGCAGGAGGTATGCGGGACGGGGAAAGCAGGGAAGAAGGAGATGAGGGCGAAGAGGACGGTGGGGGGGAAAGAGGAGGGACTAGAGACGAGAAACGAGGCATGCGGCATGAGGGAGGAGGATAAACATGAGGCAATGGAAGGGACGACGGAGCGGAGGACGAGGAGTGCAACGTCACTAACAGGCCAGTGCAATTGCGCTTCATGCCTCCGGGAAGAAAAAAAGGAGTGACGGAGAGGGGGAGGGGGGGAGGATCATCAGAGGCATGCTTCACGCATTGCATGGTAAGTGCTTGCGCTGCGAAGGCATTCGATTGTCTTTTCTGCGCCCTCGTTCTTTTCCCCATTTTGCCACAGCCACCTTGACACAAGGCATTTGGCTAACCCTCGCACAAATCACTCAATCTGTTTACCAGCAACCTAGCTGAATCTCAACTCGCGCTGGAGCCGCAGCATCAATGGACGCGACTTCGTGGACCAGCTCGTCCTACGCCAACTCGGACACTGGCAGGGACGCCCCTCGCAGTACGGGCAACACTGCCGCCCAGCGGAAGAAGACGGCACGCTTCGGCAATTTGTACGTGGGATCGGAAAGCGTGAATCTCACCTCGAAGTTCTGCGCTTCATTCTCAGACAACCAGAGCCCTCCCGAGCAGAACACAGAATTCCACACGGTACCTGCGAAGGTTCTGCAAGACGTGACAGTGCCGTACTTCTGCCTAGAGCAGCGGGATGACGGGCTTATGGACGTGGACGCGGCCATGCTGCTCACCCACACGCCCCTCCCGAAGGGCTCCTCCGCGTTCACGTCCGTTCACATCGTGTCGGTTGCGAACGACAGAGCCCGGGCCACTTCGGAGATCGTGCGTGAGACCGCCAGTAAGCTCAGGGGGGGCGCGTGGACCTACGAGTGGCCAGAGCTTCAGGCCAGCGACGTGGTGGGCGAGTACGAGGCTTTCTTCCGCATCACCGCCGAGCTTGTCCTCAACGGCGCCGACAGGTCCAGCCTCCTGGTCTTCGTCGCAGACGCGGGCGACACCTGCGAGCTCGCCGTGGCGACCATTCTGGCCATGCTGCCATTCCGCGGCGTGCAGGTGGCCTTCGTGACTCCCAGGCTCGGCTACGTGAACCCTCTGCGCAAGTTGACCACGGCGTCGGGCTTGTTCGAGTACGACGCCAGGCAGCCCGAGCGCATGGGCCGCTGCCCCGTGGCGGCCGTGTTCGGCCCCCTCGGCGATCGTGCCTTTCGCTGCGCGCTGGCGCCGTGGTGCCCGCTGAAGCCAGCCGTCGCCGCCGAGGAGAAGCCAGCCCCGTTCAAGATCGGAGCCCTGGAGTTGCCGATGGTCACGTTCGAGGGCCAGTATGCAGCGGGAGTGGACCGGCTCGCATCGTTGCTCGAGAATCACTTCGGCGCCTCGATGTTCCCCGTCGTTGCCGTGGGCGAGACTGTTGACGCTCTCGGCTACGGATCGGATGTCCTCAGCGCCCTGGAGCAACGCGGCTGTTCAGGCTATTACTTCACTCATGCGTCAGGCGAGAGCAACAAGAAGCCAGAGGCGTACGGCAGCCCAGAGCTCTTGAAGGCGATCGCCGCGGCCAAGGGCGCCGAGAAGCGTGTGGTGGTCGTCGCAGTAGGCGGAGGCGTGAACGGCAACACGATGGGGACCGTCGCAGCCATGATCGGAGCAGATTTCGTGGAGGTGCCCACGACACTGATGCATTACAACGACGCCACCACGTCGGCCAAGAAGGCTTTCAGTCTCGTCAGGGACGGCGAGATACTGTCCAAGAACATCCTGGGCACCTTCTACCTTCCCCAGCTGGTGTTCTGCATCAGCGAGACCTTCCTTACGCTGTCCTGGTGCCTGCGGCTGGACCCCGCCACCGTGCCAGCGCAGTGCTCTGTGTGGCGGCCCCTCCGAGTCCACTTCGATCCGATTGATCCGGTTCGACAGCGATTCCGACCGCCTCGATCCGATTTTATTCACGGGCTTACGCCGCACCGCCGACCCCTTGGGTGCCAAACTGCGGGGTCAGCAAGACGCGACGGCTGGAGAGCCTTCATGTGGCGTTTGGAGAACTTTCGGTGGTTTCTGGGCCCATTTTCGTCTCAGGGTACCTTCTCATGGTCCGTTATCGGGCCCAACTCGGCTGTTGGGGGGATCTCTTGGCGGCCTCATGGGCCGTCATGGGGCGATATTTGAAGCCTCGGAGGCCATCATAGACGCTGTGGGCCCTACACATGGAGGCACTACATGTACACGGTTTTCTAAGCGATTTAGAGGATGCTTGCCTCTTGGCGGTCCTCTTGGAGCCGTGTTGGGACGTTCTGGGGGCCTCGTAGTTTTTCTTGAGGCCATCGGGGGCCGTCCGAGAGGGCTTCCAGGGAGGGGCTCGGGGAATGGCAACTCTCTACATGCCGAGGACCCCCCAGGACTAGCGAATCTGAGCACACGTCGGGCTCTTCAGATGGACATATTACCCGCGGCCGTTCTCCTCAAAGGTTTGGGGCAATGTTATACCTAGGGTAAGTGTAATAGTGGGAAGCGTCGCCATGGGGGGATGCGCTTGTCGATGCCGTGCCGCGGATTTGCTGCCACAGCAGCGGATTGCAGGTAGAGCATGCCACTTCGTGACAGTGCTGGCGTCATCCTGCTGAGCGGGTGCGCGGGCGAACGAAAATATGTGCATAGTTCCAGGAGGCCGTGCGGGGTTCCACCGACGTTGCCCTTCCCTTTCTGGCGTGTCGCGACGTCGTCTGCGTCATTGGACACTGGCGGGCCGAGCCCATTCGAGTACTACTTGTGGCGTGCGCTGGTGGTTCTGCGCCATCCCCGCGTGTGTTGACATTGGATAGCGGGTGGAAGTCCGTTCGCCGTCGTCGTTCCTCTCCTATCCCCCCCTTCCCCCCCTTCCTGCCCTTCGATGACCGTCGTCCTCTGAGCCTCGCCGTCGCCGTCGTCGTCGCGGGCGGGGGCGCGGAGGAAGTTCGAGCATTGTGTGTGGCGTGCGTGGGTGGCCGTGGCCATCATTGCGTGCCCCGGAACTGGAGTAACGGAGCGCCCCTCCACCTTGTCGTCCTGTCCTCCTCCTGCTTCCGTCCGCGTCGCTCGCCGTCTCCATGCCTTGGCCTCGCTGGGAGTCCGAACAGCCTTGGGGCACTGCATCGTGCCTGACGGGGCCAGACCGTTGTGGGAAATTGCCGATCGTTGTGGATATAGGTCTGTGCGCGGAGCGCGGGGGGACAGGTCGACGGTTCCAGATTTGTTATCCAAGTTGTTAGCGCGCCTATTCTGTTCCGGAGGGCGCTATTTGCGTCGGTGGGGTTTCGATGGCCAATGCCCCCCTTTCACCCCCTTTTTAGTTTTACCCCGCGGGGGATATTCAGTTTCAAAATTGTCCTCCAGGCTCTTCGCTGCCATGTGTGCTCCTTTGACATGTTGGGGCCGTCGGTTCCTAGGGTGGGTGCCGCCCCCGTCCGCGCGCGCGCCGAAGCAGATTCGTTCCCAACCCTCCTGCGTTGTGTTCTCATTTGGAATTGAGAACTGTGGTCTTCGTTCTTCTTCCCGCCCCCGTCGTTATCCCCGCCCCCTCTTACTTGCCTGCTACCCTGCCATCTACATGCCTTTTGCCCTCTTCCCAACTTGCCTGCTCTCCTCCCTCCTCGCCGTCCTTGGGGGGCTGCGATCAGCGAAGTTATTTCCACATTGGAGGGCTGCTGAGAGGGGTCTAGCGGGGTGACGCCCCACGCAAATTCAAATTCGACTTCGGCATCCCTGGGGAGCTGCGAACTGCGAGGGTGTCGCCACTTCGGATAGTTGCGGGGGGTCCAGCAGAGTGACGCACTACGCGCGTTCAGATTTTTCCTCGCCATCCCTGGGGAGCTGCGAATTCTGAAGGTGTCGCCACTTTGGAGAGCTGCTGGGGGTTCCGGCGGAGGGACGCAGAGCGGGGCTTCGCCATTCCTGGGGGGTAGCGATCTGCGAGACTATTGCTGCTTTTGCAGGCTGCTGGGGGGGGGGGGGGCAGCGGAATGGGGCCCCGCGTAGATTTGATTCATGCTTCGCCATCCCGCGGGGGTGCGATCTGCGAAAGTGTCGTTCCTCTTGAGAGCCGCTCGGGGTCCAGCGGGCCAGCGCCCCGCGCAGATCCTGCCACCTTGCCATCATTGGGGGACCTTGCCAACCTTGGGGGACTGCGATCTGCAAAACTGTCGCCAGTGCCAAAAGATGCTTGAGGGGTCCAAGGGGGTGGTGCCCCATGCAAATCAAGAGTGAAAGAAACACACAGACACAATTAACCGGCGATTCCCTAGAACATATGGGAAAATATAGGAAGTGGGGGGGAAGACAAACACCCAACAAATATGGGAAAATATAGGGAATATGTTTAGTTGTGTGTATTTATTTGTGTGTCCCATGGCCCCTTCAGCAAATTCAGACCAGAGTTCGCCGCCCGTTCAGGCCTGGTTGCGTTGGAACGGGGACCTTTGTTGAAGAATGTGGATGGGGGGATGTGCGATGAGGAATGTGAGGCAGTGGCGATGCGGAAAACGCTGTGGTTGTGGACCTCCGCGATTCTCGAGAACGTGCTTTCCCCAGGTCGTTCCGTTTATCCAATCGTTTCCTGTGTGTTGCCGTCGCGGTCGTCGTCGGATATGGGAACACGGTGGAACTTCGAGTATTCTGGATGGCGTGCGTGGGTGGCTTTGGCCGTCATCGCACGCGTCAGATGTGGAGCAGTCTTACCGTGTCGTCCTCCTCCTTCCCGTGTGGTCTTCTTTGTCGTCGTCCGTCCCTCTTGTCCAACCCCGTGGATATCCATCAAACAAGAAAAATTAATTAGCACAAGCAGTTTCTACAATATATATATATATATACATATGTGTGTATATATATATATACACACACGGCATGTGCTACACGTCGGGGCGGACGCCGCGAATAGAACGTGCGAGGTGCCCCGCGGCGGCGCGACGCTGTTCGGATGGCGACGACGGGCGGATGTTGACGGAAACGGACCGTCACACAGGGGCGCGACAGGATATGGTGTCACATCGGCGCGCAATAATCATGTGTATATGGGGCTCGAAAATGCGAGGGCGAAGGTAAAAAAGGGACACCAGGGTCCCCTGGGGCCCTCGTGGGTCTTGTCGAAGGTTCTTGTGAAACTCTTTTGGGGGGAGTTCGAGAAGGCGAACACATCGAAATAGGCGCTTCGGCGGGTCGTGCCCATTCCGGTTTCCCTCTTGTGGTGTCCATCGGCCCATCCTGCCACGGTGCCCAAGTTGTGGTTCGGACGTTTAGTGGAAGTTCGCGGTGGCCAGAAACCTTGGATGACGCCATTTGGGAGCGTCGTTCGGGTCTCGTCGGGGCGTCTTTGCGCTTGTGATGGGCTTATTTCAAGGGCAGAAAAATCGCTCCTACCCTCTGGTTTACGAGGCTCTTTGCGCTGAAACTCCTGTGGGTTGACAGGGTAAGCCCTGCGTGATGTGCCGCGTCCAAGCGGCTCTAGGCTTCTGGGGTTCCCAGGAGGTTTACAGACCACGCACTTGTAACCCACGGGGCCTTCCGACCCGCCTTGGGCTTCCTGGTCGCTTCTTGGCATCTCGTGGGCCCGTCCGGGGGTCGTCCTGAAAACGTCGCAGGCCGTATCGGATTGCTCTTGGGCATTTGTTGTTGTTCTTGTTGTTGTTGTTGCTGTTATTTTTGTTGTTGTTGTTGTTGTTGTTGTTGTTGTTGTTGTTGTTGTTGTTGTTGTTGTTGTTGTTGTTGTTGATCCCCCTCACCGGCGCGCATTATTTTTTCAATTGAAGTGCCCCCCCCGGGGCTCGCATTTTGTTTTTTTGTCAAGGAAAGTCATCCTGCTCAAACTGGCCCCTTGGCTTCCGGGTTACAACAACAACGGTTCACGCCTGAGACTTCCTCACAATTTAGCCAGGACCCCCGCTCCCGCCCGAGATGTCTTCGCATTTTATTCAAGAATCGCGCTTTCGCTTGGGACTTCCTTGCGATTTATTCAGGAATCGCTCCTCCTGCGCTCTAGAGTCGCGCTCTCGCTGGAGACGTGCTTGCAATTTACTGAAGAATAGCGCCCTTGCGTTGGAATTTCTTGCAATTTACTCCAGCGCCGCGCTCCCGACACCCAGGCACACAGGAGTCGCGCTCACGCGTAGGACTCTTTCAAAGATTACCTAGGAATCGGGATCTCGCTGCCCTTCGTGGCCCCGTTGCAGCCCTTCGTGGCCCCCTCGCTTTGTTTCGTGGCCCCGTTGCCGCCCTTCGTGGCCCCCTCGCTTTGTTTCGTGGCCCCGTTGCAGCCCCTCGTGGCCTCCTCGTTGCCCCTCGTGGCCCCGTTGCAGCCCTTCGTGGCCCCCTCGCTCTGTTTCGTGGCCCCGTTGCAGCCCTTCGTGGCCCCCTCGCTGCCCTTCGTGAGCCCGTTGCAGCCCTTCGTGGCCCCGTTGCAGCCTTTCGTGGCCCCCTCGCTGCCCTTCGTGGCCCCGTTGCCGCCCTTCGTGGCCCCCTCGCTTTGTTTCGTGGCCCCATATATGTATGTCCTTCGTGGCCCCTGCTCGTTCGCGCCCGTGGCGGCCCCATATGCATGCCCTTCGTGGCCCCGCTGTCGCCCTTCGTGGCCCCCTCGCTGCCCTTCGTGTCCCCATTGCTGCCCTCAGTGGCCCCGTCCTTACCCTCCGCGGCCCAACATACGTATGCCCTTCGTGGCCCCCGCTCGTTCTCGCCCGTTGTGGCCCCATGTGCATGCCCTTCGTGACCCCGCTGCCGCCGTTTGTGGCCCCCTCATTGTCCTACGTGGCTCAGGTGCTACCCTCAGTAGCCCCATCGTTGCCTTCTGTGGCCCCGC